CAAATGGAATAGAATCCTTGAATATTTCAAAATTCCTGATTTAATATCAAATAATTAGTAAGAGATAAATAAAAGCAAACTGTATCTATGCATTCTGAAGAAATTTGTACAATCTCTGTTATTACCCTGACCATCAGGGTAACTTCAATTTGTTTTAGTTTCTGCCTGATGAAGAGTTCATATTCTAGATTTTTCATATCTCCACTTTATTACGTAATACCCCAAAGTTTTCAACCTTCATGTTAACTATTATGCAATCAGTAAATTAACGGTTTGTTTCTCTTTACTTGACACTTCTATCAACTTTATGTAATTACCATACATAGTGATTTACATCTTCATTATGTTGTTAAGTGTAATACCTACACATATTAGTGTACATCGGATGACGAAAACTTGACTGAAAAGAAATATTTCTTTGCTCAATCTATTTTCTATGTTAAAAGGTTTTAATGGGAATTTTTTTTAATGTGCTAAAATAATTTGCACATGTTTGTAACTTATTTTCTCAAATAATCCGCCAAAATTTCATTTTTTAGCTGATAAGTTTATGCATTATCGAAAGGTAAATGTGTTCAATAATAATCGTATTTCATTTATATATGCGTGTACATCCAGTGTTAGAAAAACATGCACATGTACACAAATAGAAAGTAGGTGTCTTGTAAGCAGGTATGTACAACGATGATCATGCGACACCTGTTTATGACACTTATTGTTAAACTACATCAATAATTAACTTCTTAGACTTTTTCTAGTATATACCATTGAATAGAACAAAATTGATTGTTCCTTTTCAATGTTTTGTTAGCAATGGATATGGTGACTACGGTATGCCTACATAGTTGAGAAGAATAGCAGATGAATGAAATTCATCTAAGATGGATTATCAATTTGTTCACTTACACATCTGATGAGGTTAGGTACAAACGAAATGATAAATTAAGGTTCAGATTACAATGAGTTTGAGTGGTAAAAGTTTTAGATGAACATCAATGATTTCCAACATTGTTAAGTACTGGTTTCAATTGGATCAGCGTACAGCGTTTCTTTCCCACAAACTAGTTTTTACACTGCTAGTAGGTACATATATAGATTTCTGAAACTCCTGGGAATCATCAGGTGACTAGTGAACTTCACACACTCATGTAGGAGGAACTGAGGAGTATACGACAGTGATAGTGTAAACCGGTTACATTGTTACATTTCGTCATCACCAAAATCATACCTGTAGATTATTCCGCCTTAAAAGTTACGTTTGTCCTGTATTTGTCTTGGATATATTCCTACGAAAATGATAAAGTATATTGGAAAACTTGCAGTCATAACCTCATTAACTACCTTAAAAGTCCTTTACTTGGTTCTGTTTAAGATGCGATAATTTGTCTGAAAATATGGTTTGAAGGTTATGGAGACACAGTGAAAACGTATGAGTGATAGACAGTTGTTTCGTCCTGGGCCAATATCCCTCAGCAGCGGAGTCCGGAAACCATCAGGTTTAATGACAAGTACCACACCATTTAGTCACCGGATTGTATGAATATAATAGTCCAGCTCAGTGAGAAGCCATAATTTATGGGATTGAGAAATTAACTTATGAGCACACATACTCATCAATAGCTTCATATGATGGCGGCTGTATATTCGGAATTGACAAAGCACAGAAAAATGTAAGACATTGGATTTCATCTCCTTATATAAATGATAATGTGCTCACTACGAGATCTGACTGTCTTAAATTCGATCTCTCTCAACTTCGTTGGTGCATATTTCTCAGAAGTCACAGAACTAGAATGAAAGAACTGCCTAGTGCATCAATGTTTTCAATGGTTCTCTAAATAATGTCATTTCGTTATAAAAGCTACTTTAGGACCGGGAAGTAAATTATATCCCTTTTTATCAGTAACAACTGAAAGCCTGTTAATTATCATTCTGATAAGAGGTATTTCATGACACTGGTACTTCATGTTGCAGACACTTAAGCAGATGTACGGCCTAAGGATCGGAATCATAGCAGGGGTGTATTACAATGACTTGTTGGGTAGTTGCAGACAACAGTCAACAAACCAGACACTTTTGCTTTGCAAGTGATGCTCACTCTGGAGGTTTTGTTAATTCCTACTGACCATTCAAAGTTGTTTAGATGGATGGAACTAGAATGATAGCCACTTTTTAATTTAGTGATAAGTATTCAGTTACTTCATAATTTCAGGGTAGTATTCATCATGGACTGACATCAGTTGGAGAAATCCTGAATACCTCGGAGTACTGGACAATTGTCTCGCTTTAATATACAAATGCTCAGCAGTGAACACCTATGACCCCGAAAGAAATAAACCCCAGGACTCTTAGGTCTCATGGCTAGTACGTCATCATTGGGCTACTGCGCAGCAATCTATTGGTGTACATTCTCCTACTTCCGTTAATTCACAACATAATGCAGTCTTCATCCGATGTTATGGTTGAGTATTTGTCCTAACATCAGACTTGGCTTAATCTCGTCGTTCAAAAATTCAGTATTCGAATCCCTCATTGTTGTTTCAACTAACCAATGTTTCATGCTGCACTAAAATAGTCACATTCACTGATCAATTAAATAGTCGTCCCTTAATGCTGTTTTCATTTTAACTCTCGCCAATATACTGATTGATTTATGACAACTATCCCTCTTCTACAGTAACCGAAAAAGATGTGAACTGCACAAGTAAGTACACTTTCTTTCAGGATGACTTATGCCCGATATAAATCCCGTGTAATTTTTATGAAAAGGTTGCCCTGAACAATTCAATTACTTACAGGACAGCTAAAAAATAACCCTTTCTGATTAAGTTCTATCAGTATACTTTCTGCAGGACAAGAAAATCTTGATGATCACATTGTCAAATGATCAACAAAACTCAATCAATACTTATGACTAGACTATATGAAATTGGTCACCTTCGAGTGATCAATCAGTGTATCTCATTCAATCTTATAGGAGGTCTATCATGGCCTGAATACCTTAGCGGTAACGTGTGTTTCCATAGCAATTTCTGAAGTGGGTTTGAAATAGCAGACGAGACATCATTCCTTGCTGATGAGTACCAAAAGATACGAAACCTACATTGTGTTGGCCTTCCTGAAGATTTTACCCAGCCAACTAATAAGAAAACCATTTTATGAGATTACCATCTGGAATTAGAAACGTGTCATAATCGTTTTTAAAAACTTGTTTTTAGAAGACATTTTATGCAAAGCTTACTGAAAAGTAATAAGGAAAGGTGTATTACGTAATAGTAATGCTACACTTTATTTATTTGACAAATAGTCAGGTTTAAAGTACCTTAAAAGTGAGACTATGAGCCACACTATGTCTGTTACAGAACTAACTAATTGCATAGCAAGTATTGAAATGATTCTATACAGAGGATTTCTGATACTGTGTATTCAGTAATCCCAGCTATATTTACCTCAGATATTGATTATTCTGCTGCTATATAAAGATAATATCATCCACCAGGGGGATGTCCTTAATAACTGAAGATATATGCTTTGCATGATTGGTATTTTTAATCGTCAGCTGATGTTTTTACTCACTTATTGCTCCTTTTAGATGTAACTAACTGGGTGAAGTCTTAGTGTTTTTGTTTCGATAACAGTAATAACTAATCGATAAAGCATATCAACCAATTTCCGGTGTCTTTTCTGTCTGTTGCAAAGGAACCGTTAACAGTCTTTCAAGCACTTAATAGCTATTTATTACACATACTTAAAGGCATACATCCATATTGAAATTGTACAAAATGTCGCACAATTCATCGTCCCCAATATTTATTAATTTGCATAGGTTAATTTTCTACACTGAGGTGTAATGAATTAGCTAGCGTATACTTATGGTGGGATTATTGTAACCCAGATGAATGAACATTCATTCAAAATCGGAATCACTTTAGTCTTGTTAGCAGATATTACATGCAATCATGTGAGCAGTCTCCAGTTTCTAATACCTTTTAGTAGTATATGTATACCCCCTCTGGATAAATACGCTACTGAACTTGGTTACAAACTCTAACTGAACTCTTGATACATCAGGTTAAATGTCTTTGAATAGTTCGCCCAAACTGTCCTTCCTTCCAATATTTTTTCATCCAACTTAGTCACACATGTACGGTACATGAAAGTGTTCGCCTATGACTGGTGATCTATTTCTTACTGAATAGTAAGTGTTATACGAAGATTACAAGTATGAATAAATAATAATAATGATAAGTAATACCCGTTGCACAACAAGTGACTGTCGTACTTCAGTGGCCTAAGAGATAAAGCCTCGGAGTTTAAAGCGATGGGTACGGGGTTGATTTGTTAATGGGAACACGATCACTCACTTGGGTTTAGTACAACTAGCTGACGAGTCTCAAATAGAACAAAACACGCACCTTGGATTCTACTGCTAATCACAACCAAGTCAGTTATAAGTGCTAAACATCGATTAAAATTGGAGATGGATTGGGCATACACTGAGAAGGCCGACTGGAGACATCACGTTCCAGGCCAGGCCGTCGAGTGGAATCCCAATGGGAAACGACGAGTTGAGCGTCCGAGGGTGACAAGGAGGAGATCATGTGAAGAAGAAATGAAAGCTTCTGGGCAGTCATGCAGCTAGGTTCAAAAGACTGCAGAGAAGAGAGTGAAATGGAGACGTACTACGGAAGCCCTATGTTTCACTACGAACCCAAGAAACAAATAGAAATAATAAATTGATTAAAATTAAACAAATCTCTCCTAGTAATTACTGAATTTGTTGGAGTAAAAAGTGGATCTTTGAAATTGCAATCGACTTAATCATCAACCTGGTGTCTAATTTATTCATGATACAATAAACGAGACAAATCACTCAAACAGGTGGTACTAGCAGTCATGCGTAAATTTGAGTCTGTCATTCACATAATGAAAATAAATTTCGTTGATTAATTCAGTTTTGGTAATAGAACCTTAAAGCGGTAGCCAAAGAGTGCACGATTTGAAGCCTTTGAAGATCATTATTATTATTATTATTATTATTATTATTATTATTATTATTATTATTATTATTCTCACCTTGTAGTTAGTACATTTATATGTTAGCCAAATATACCCTGGATAGTCTGTGGATTGAAGATTAGTTTAAGTATCGTAAATTGTCGGTTGGTAAAGTAGATCAAGCAGGTGATAGCTATGAAAATCGCCTTAATATATTGGTAATTTCATGAGCCTAACTTGTCAGGAGTTAAAATGACTATGTATAACAACAATGATTATTAGTGACAAACAAAAATTCTAAATGACAGTGATAGTTTATTAAGTGATAGTCAATAAGTTAAAGATTTAAAGAACGAAACATATACTAATTTAAACAAAATTAAGCGAAGAGAATTGCAAAATAATAATGATGATGATGACGATAATAACAAGAACAAGTTTTACTTGAAATTGAATAGAAATTCACATTGAAATATACATTAGAATTCTTGTTCTTCATCTTCATCAACTACAACTGTATCACATCCAACTTCAGCATAATCTTTTTCTAGTGCAGCAGTATCTTCACGTGCTTCACTGAACTCACCTTCTTCCATACCTTCACCAACATACCAATGAACAAATGCACGCTTGGCATACATTAAATCGAATTTTCTATCTAATCTAGCCCATGCTTCTGCAATTGCAGTTGTATTACTCAGCATACATACAGCTCTTTGAACTTTTGCTAAATCACCACCAGGTACAGTCAATGGAGGCTGATAATTGATGCCAACTTTGAAACCAGTTGGACACCAATCAACAAATTGTATAGCTTTCTTAGTTTTAATATTTGCAATAGCTGCATTCACATCCTTAGGGACAACATCACCACGATATAATAAGCAACAAGCCATATATTTACCACAACGTGGATCACATTTCACCATTTGATTACCAGGCTCAAAACAAGAATTAGTAATCTCTGCAACACTCAACTGTTCATGATATGCTTTTTCTGCTGAAATGATCGGTGCATAGGTTGCTAATGGGAAGTGAATTCTAGGATAAGGAACTAAATTTGTCTGAAATTCTGTTAAATCAACATTTAAAGCCCCATCGAAACGAAGTGAAGCAGTAATTGAACTGACTATCTGAGCAATTAGTCTATTCAAGTTGGTATATGTAGGATGACCAATGCCTAAGTGCTTTCTATAAAACAGATTTACTATATAAACAGAATTACTTACCTGCAGATATCATAAATAGCTTCATTATCCACCATAAAAGCACAGTCAGAATGTTCAAGTGTGGTGTGCGTTGTCAAAATAGAATTGTACGGTTCTACAACAGCTGTAGCTATTTGTGGTGCTGGATATACAGCAAATTCAAGTTTAGATCGTTTCCCATACTCAACACTTAATCTTTCCATCAGTAGAGATGTGAAACCAGATCCTGTACCACCACCGAATGAGTGAAAAATCAAGAAACCCTGTAAACCTGTACACTGATCAGCAGATTTTCGAATACGTTCTAATACTAAATCAATAATTTCTTTGCCAACTGTATAATGACCACGTGCATAATTATTAGCTGCATCCTCTTTACCAGTAATTAATTGTTCTGGATGAAATAATTGTTTATATGATCCAGTTCTGACTTCATCGACTACATTAGGTTCCAAATCGACAAATACAGCACGTGGTACATGCTTTCCTGAACTCATTTCACTAAAGAATGTATTGAAAGCATCATCTGATCTTTCTGTAGTTTTATCATTTGGCATATGACCATCAGGTCGTATCCCATGCTCTAAACAATACAACTCCCAACAAGCATTACCCATTTGTACTCCAGCCTGTCCAACATGTACACTGATACATTCACGCTAAAAAAACAAAAGAGAAATTCACTATTCAGTATATATTACTCAACTTACCATTTCTGTAGATAACCAGCAGGAGAATTAATCAAGATCAAATGAATAGGGATATTTGAAGCACCGAAAACAACAGAATCTGGATTTCAATGTACACTTAACAGTGTAATTTATGATATTTTTATTAATTAAACCTCCATATTAATAAACTGAAACCTTTTTATACTAGTCTTTACGCTTATGCATTGCATTGGTTACTGAATAATAAGAGTGTGACCTAAATGTGTAGATGTGCACACATTGACATACCTGATTAGTGATGATGTATGTCATTATTGTTATTCCACTTACTATACTATGTAAATGTGTTTCCAACATATCTTTATACCATCAAATCGACAAAACATATCTCTTCATCATTCACCTTTTACTTGTGTATATACAGAAGCATATTTCAACCAGTTGAACTAGTATACTTTGTGTATCTATCCTATACGTTTTACTATCCTACATTATCTATCATATTGATTACTTTTTATCAAATAAAAAACCATTTTAAGCTGCACCTATATATGCATACACATACAAGGTAATCTGCACCACGCGACTTTTATGACGATGTAATTTATGATACTACATATATATATATATATATATATATATATATATATATATATATATATCAATAGATATTTATAATGCAGATATTAACTTATACTATGCATGTATACATAATTAGCCATTCTACTGTTGACCTGCATGCCATTTTAAGTTCATGTACATTCATCTTATTTTGCTACGCATATTTTGACCTTCTATCAGGTTACCGGTTGTTTATTTAATAAATAATTTTTGTTCACCAGATACTTCAAATAGCAATGTACCTAATGATGTTAGGATTCAAGTAATTATATCTATTAATGAAGTATTATTATTATTATTTTTCCCTTGGGTTCTTAGAGGAACATAAAGCTTCAGTAGCACGCCTCCATTCCACTCTCTTCTCTGCAGTCTTTCAACCCAGGCGCCACGACTGCTTACATGATGTCCTCCATGTCACCCTCACCTCGCACGCCCAACTCGTCATTTCCCCTTTGGACTTCACTCTAGGGCTTGGTCTGACGCTTGATGTCCCCAAATGGTTTTCTCAGTGTATGCCCAATCCATCTCCACTTTCTTCTGCCTATTTATTGGGTAATAACCTCCCCTGGTTAACTAGTTCACTAGTTACTAGCCGCTCCTAATCCCGGGTAAAAAGAGAAGGTTGGGCATAGGACTAGCAACCCTACCCCGTAAAACAAATCTAACCGCCAAAGAAACTTCAAAGCGCAAACGATGTATAAAAAATAATAACAAAATTATTCTTCACTGGAATCGGAGAGGCGAAATGACGCCAGTTGGTGAAAGCCTTCGGGAAGCCAATTGGCCGATGTGTCTTCTCTCTCTCGATGAAAGCGAAAGTAAACGTGGGGACATGGAATGTCCACACTATGTTTGAACCCAGTAAGGAAGCATAGATTGTAAACCAGATGAAGAGGTATCACATTGAAGTGCTTGGAATTTGCGAAAGCAGATAGAATGAGAGTGGACTCTTCAAACTTCAACTAAAAAGGAGAATCAATAATCTACTCCAAAAAGGTCACTCAGACGACAACCACGAGCACACTGAGTTATGGAGTGGCTATCATGATGTCCCCAAGAACATCGAAGGCTCTCATGCAGTGGGAACCAATCTCCCCCAAAAAAAGGATCATGGCAGCAAGATTCAACTCAAAAGGAAGGAAGGTCACAATCATACCATGCTATGAAAAACACCTAAAAATAATGCAGAACAGGAGAAAAAGGAGGAATTCTACAGACAACTTCAATCAACACTGGACAAGACCTCAGTTGGCGATATCAAAATTCTAATGGGTGACATGAATGCCAAACTGGGAGCAGATAACACAGGAAGAGAACTAACCATGGGTCGAGAAGCGCTCGGTGTGATGAACGAGAATGGAGAACTGTTTGCAGAATTCTGTGCATTCAACGATCTGGTGATTGGAGGCACTACGTTCAAGCACAAGGATATCCACAAAGCGACATGGATTTCACCAGATGGACACACTAAAAATCAAATCGACTTTATCTCAATCTCAAGAACATGGAGACGCAGTCTACTTAACACAAGGTCAAGAAGAGGAGCAGATGTAGGTTCAGACCACCATCTAGTACAGGGAACCAGCCTTCGAAACCAAGTTGAAAGCCTTCAAGGAAGCTGGTGATAGACCACAGTTCAAGTACAACACTCGGAAACTGAGGGATGAAACTACAAAGGAGATCTTCACGGCAGCCATCAAGACAAAATGGGAGATATCGAGGAACATCCCTGAAGAAACCCGTGTAGATGAACACTGGAAGTCTTTGAAAGAGATGTGGAAAGAAACCTGCACAACCGTATTAGGAAGGAAGAAGAAAGAAGACAAGGAATGGATCTCGACAGATACCTGGAAGCTGATAGAAGAGAGGAGGATGGTGAAACAGAAGATGAACCAGTGCAAGGATGCTCAACGACAAGAGGAACTGAGCATGATGTATAAAACACTGGACAAGGAAGTGAAGAAGAGTGCACGGAAAGACAAAAGACACTTCTACGAAACACTGGCAAGTGAAGCACAACAGGCTGCAGGTAACAGAGACCTGATGACATTGTATCAAATAACCAGGTTGCTATCAGGGAAGAGATCAGCAGAGATGAAACCAATAAAAGATGATGACGGAAATTCAATTACGAAAGAAGAGAAACAGAGGAAACAATGGGCCGACCACTTCAAGAAGCTCTTGAATAAAAAACGACCACCACCTGCACTTCGTCCAGAAATACCACCTGCAGCCGCTGAATTACAAGTGAACATAAATCCCCCAACGAAAATGGAAGTCCTGAACGCCATAAAGCTACTGAAATGCGGGAAAGCAGCAGGACCAGATGGAATCCCACCAGAAGCACTGAGAACAGACGTAGAGACAACAGCGGACATGCTCACACCACTATTGCAGAAGCTGTGGAAGGAAGAGAAGGTACCTGCCCATTGATTGGAAGAAGGGTTACCTTGTCAAACTGCCGAAGAAAAAAGGGAGACCTGAGTGTTTGCAAGAACTGGTGCGGAATCACTCTCCTGTCTACCCAGAGCAAGCAAAATATTAAGCCGCATCATCCTGGAGAGACTAAAGGATGCACTGGATTCAAAACTGTGACCGGAACAGGCTGGCTTCAGGAAGTACAAATCATGTACAGACCAAATTGTAACGCTTCGCATCATCATAGAACAGAGTATAGAATGGCAGTCAACTCTCTACCTCAACTTCATCGACTTTGAGAAGGCCTTTGACAGCGTCGACCGAGAAGTAATTTGGAAACTGCTTCACTACTATGGAGTACCGCAAACCTTTATCCGCCTCATTCAACAACTATATGAAGATGCCACAAGCAAAGTAGTTCACAATGGGAAGCTCAGTGATGCTTTTGAAGTAAAGACAGGAGTGAAACAAGGTTGCCTACTGTCACCCATGATATTCCTGATTGTGGTGGACTGGATCATGCAGCAAACAGTGGGGAGCGAGAAGAGGGGGATACGCTGGCTGGACTGCGGAAAATAACCTAGAAGACTTGGATTTCGCCGATGACTTCTGCTTGATGTCACACAAACTTGAAGATCTGCAGGCAAAAGCTAACAAGTTGATAGAAGAGGCAGCTAAGACGGGACTTCAGGTGAATATAGAGAAGACAGAAGTGATGAAGATACCGCACCAACAACTCCAACAACAACAACAAACTCCAATCACCATGAACGGGATAAACTGAAAGAAAGTAACCTCCTTCACCTATCTAGGCAGCACTGTCTCAACTGCAGGCGACACAGGCACAGACGAGGATGTTTAAGTCAGAATCGGAAAGACAGCAAGACAGGCGTTCATTAGCCTGAAACCAGTGTGGAGATCTTCTGCACTCAGCATGCGGAACAAGATACGGATTTTCAACACCAACGCCAGTCAAGTCAGTGCTTCTGTATGGCTCAGAGACTTGGTGCGTCACGAAAGTGATTTCCAATAAACTACAGACATTCATCAACAACTGCTTACTCTCGCTACTGAAGATCAGATGGATTGCCAGAAAGAATAAGCAACAAGGAACTCTGGGAACGAACCAACCAAGAACCTATCACCCAACAAATATGCAGAAGGAAGTGGAGATGGATTGAGCATACACTGAGAAGGCTGACTGGGGACATCACGTGTCAGGCCAGTTGCTCGAGTGGAATCCCCATGGGAAGCGACGAGTTGGACGTCCGAGGGTGACATGGAGGAGATTGTTCGAAGAGGAAATGAGAGCTTGTGGGCTGTCGTGGAGCCAGGTTCAAAAGATTTCGGAGAATAGAGGTCACTGGAGACGTGCTACTGAAGCCCTATGTTCCATCAGGAGCCCAAGGGACTAATTATATAATAATAATAATAATAATAATAATAATAATAATAATAGTTTATTGGGTAATAAGTTCTTGGTTGGTTCATCCCCAGAGTTCCTTGTTGCTTATTCTTACTATTCTGGCCATCTGATCTTCAGTATGGAGTGAGGATAGGTGGCAGTTGTTGATGATTGTCTGTAGTTTATTCGAAATGCTTTTCGTGATACGACAAGTTTCTGAACCATATAGCAGCACTGACCTGGCATAGGCGTTGAAAATCCGGATTCCGTCCGCGCTTTATGCTGAGTTTAGTGTAGTAGATCCCCACACTGATTTCGAATTAATGAAAGCCTGTCTTGCTGTCTTTCCGATCCTTGTTTTGGCATCCTCGTGTGTGCCTGCGCCGCTTGTAGTTGAAACGATGCTGTCCTGTCTAGGTATCTGAAAGAGGCTACTTCCTTTAGATTTCTCCCGTTAATGGTGATTGGTGCTTGTTGGTGATGTTGTTGGTTAGGTATATCTATGTACAATTCATTCCTAAAGAGTATCTTTCGTGAGCTAACTAGCTTGGTAGCTGTGTATTTGACTCAGAAAATAGGTGATTTGATTTCTAATATCCAATAAGGAGTAATAATGTTTTGATGTTATAGTTTGTAAGCCTCTATTGTTGACTGCGCCAAACTGATCAGCTACTATTGGCATGAAGGCTCTTATGTAGATCCCTCGATATTCCTGGTATTTCCAAATTTGATGTTAATAATGGACAGTGGCTAATAATACAATTCATGACAAGCGTTTCGTCCTAACTCCCAGTGAGTGATGTTGGTCCCACTAAGATTCGAACTCAAGTACCAATCGTTTCAAACTCCATAGCGTAATCCACTAAACAGCCACTTCTTATGAGATAGGCATAGTATCGTTTTGATTTTATGGCTTGAAACTCACCGTTTCTGATTCTACTGAATTCATCAGTTGTCTGAAGGTTGCCTATGTACCTTGCTCATGAACTATAACAAGCCTTTAGTTGACATATGAGGCCTTTTTTGGAATCGTCCTAAAATGTAATATTGAAACTGTTTCCACTGCTGAGTTTCAAATAGTGAGGATCTAATCTGCAATACTATCTAACCTCTTTATCAATGAACACTGATCTAAACGTCTTTACATATCTGTTTTTTCTCTGTAACCTTCTCTTTTCCCGAGAATGATGTAAGACAGGATGATATCACCGTGGTTACTGTGCATTGCTTCAAATTTCAAATAAAAGTGAGTTACGTGGTATTAATATCTAAACACAGAGAAGACGAGTAACTTTAAAAGCCACCCTAGCAACTGATGAAACAACTAATCACGTTTTTCTATTCGATGAAAAATTGTCTACCCAACCGAAATGCCGGCAATCTGATTGGTTATTTTCGCAGTTGTCAGGGTGGCCTTTAAAGTCGCACAATATTATCACTACAGTTATTTTCAAGATAAGGTAATTGTTCAACATAAGCAGATGGAATAATGGCTGGTTAGATCGAAGTTTAAAGGGTTGACCAAGGGAGACATTTACAACTGAATAAATTATAACCCAGAGGGTTTTTGATTTTCCATTTTCGTGTGGCATATATATAGACTTCGCGAACGATTGACTATAAAGGCCACCGTAAAAACTGCCAAAATAATCAATCAGAATGTGGTATTTCGGCTGGGAAGAAAATTTTTCATAGAACGGTGAAACGTAAATGGTTATTTCATCAGTTGCTAGGGTGGCATATAAAGTAATTAGTCGATACTGTTTATTTCTTACTGAATAATCAACAATAATGTGGTTAGAATCAATACTGACTCATTATCATACAAATAAGGATATTCTGTGTTTGAAAAAAGATTATATATCCATTACGTCACAAAATAGCACACATGAGGCTGATAACCATATTATCTCAATATCCAATATAACATAAAACACCAACTAAAGTTATCCATAACCATCAAACACCTCGGAAATTCCAGTGAAAAAACTAGAAAAGTAACGCATACTTTACCAAAATATGATAACCATCTTCCATATCGCTCATTCGAAATCTTATGAAATAAACTCTTACACAATTTCAGTCGCAAAATTAGCACTCAATGTGCAGATAACCGTCACAAATTCATGCACACCATTCGACGATTCGACGATTGCGTCTAAGTGCGAAATATTGTATTTCTAGGTAGAGCACAATAACACTTTGACGGAAACACATCTGTCTAACTATATAGAATTTAATTGGCAAGAAGACGCGTGAATAGTGAGTATGTCCACGAGTTATCATTACTTGTTCTCTGGTATAGTGGAAATCAGTGCATAAACTTGCTGTTACACATCAAGTTATTCAGAGAGCGTTGTACATGCGAGTGTGTCTGGATCTCTGAGTCTCAGATTCTCAGGTACACACTTAGCATTCTCAGATTAGAAACCTCTGTCGCCTTCAATACCTTATGCTCGTATCTACATGCTCACGTGAACTAATGCATGCGTTTCAACTTCATGCATTTTGACACTTTTATAGAGTGATGTAAGTTTTGAAGGTGAAGAACAGTTGAATATGCATTCCGTACTTATCGGCTAACCCTCACTACACAATCATTACCCTAGAAGGAAGTTTGAAAAAGGATTATCTCATTTCATACACTACTGTGTTTCTCTCTTCATCTTACCTTTGAAGCAGTCTCCTGAAGAATATTTATCGCACATCAGTATTTGGAAGACATCGTTCAATGTGGTTGAGGATTCCCTTCAAATCTGCTTTAGTGTCTATTGACAGATGAGATTCATCACATTGCAGAGAGGTTAATCAACGCACACTGCATGGATATTCCTGTCGATACACTGACAATGACAACACACCACTTTAGTGCATTCCAACTTGGACATGATCTATCCACCTTTTAGTTTTGTATATAGTGGGACTGTTCTGAGATAGTAACAATATATGCCGATCGCGTGAAATGGATAGAGGCGAATTACGTGGAGGTGGATTGCAATGATACATTATCTGATACATTATGACCGCCTTGCGATGTAGTACTAACACTGACAGTAAAAGAGTCGAGGCCAAAAACAGTAGATGCGTATGATTACACATTAGAATGATTTATTTGACGTAGAAGCGGGTGATACAGCACAATACAAGGAGTGGTCTTTCAAAATAACCTATCCAACTAAATTGTAACAAGACGGTGAAATAATACAGTGGGAAAATATTTTGTGCCTACCCTACTGTAACTGTGAACGACGAAATGTACGTGAAATATTCTGTAGTGCACAACACTTCGTTATTTCGTGTAGAATCACGAAAAACACACAATTGAATGGGCTGAGTCATCGAATTTCTGTTGATGTTACACAGGAGCGAAGTAAGCATTCCATCAAGATGTGCATTCTGCCAATTGCTTCCACGATTACCGGTCCAGCTTATTGCAAGGAAGAGTAGGCGTAGCTAGATAACAGAGTTGACCTAGGCAAAACGATGCTACGAAACATCTTCCCTTTCATTCATCACAATACCGTATTCTAATAAATGACTTAACTCCCTAGTGAAAAAGATCACTCAGGTACTCGATAACAAAGAAAAGTCTTGTCTTTCAAAGTAACGAGAAGGAATAAGAACACTTGTTTACAAGCATACGCTGCGGAACAATGTACCGAAGAAGACAAACGAGTCATCACTCACGATCTAGCAGTTCATGCATGCACGCTAGACACAACCTACAACACCCAACAAATATGATCTCTCCAAACATAATGAGACAAGCGAAACACATGAAGAATAGAAAAGAAACAGTTTATTTCGTCATGGGGTAGGTTGACAACCCACTGGTTGAATTCAATAACGTTTTCTCCTTCAAATTATTATTAGTATTCTTATTCTTATCCTCCTTCGAGACCTTCTTGCTTTTATTATCCTTCGGATTGTTCTTCTTCTCTTTCTTTTTATCCCTATCCTTCTTATTCTTCTTGCCTCTCGTCGTCACTGGATGATTCTCATCAACAGCTTGCTTGATCAATTCTACAAGTAAATAGCAACACTTATTTAATCGGTGGACAGACAATATCTGATCGCCTAATTCAACGGATAAAAACAGAGGAGCATCAAGTCTGAAAAGACATGAGTGTGAAATAACACAACCAGTCAGCAAGTCGACCTCACTCACCACATGACAGTAGTAGTAGGAGTAGTAGTCGAAGTCGTAGTCGTAGTAGTAGTAGTAGTAGTAGTAGTAGAAGTAGTAGTAGTAGTAGTAGTAGTAGTAGTAGTAGTAGTAGTAGTAGTAGTAGTAGTAGTAGTAGTAGTAGTAGTAGTAGTCGTAGTCGTAGTCGTAGTCGTAGTATTAGTAGTAGTCGTAGTAGTAGTAGTAGAAGTAGTAGTAGTAGTAGTAGTAGTAGTAGTAGTAGTAGTAGTAGTAGTAGTAGTAGTAGTAGTAGTAGTAGTAGTCGTAGTCGTAGTCGTAGTAGTAGTAGCAGGAGTAGTAGCATCATCATCATCATCATGTGGGTCAGATGGAAATGTCGCATACCCACTCTCAACCACAGCTTCCTGTCTGCCTCCCTGACTCCATGTGCACGTGTCCATGTCATTCAACAACTCATGTGAGCACACACATTGAGAGATCGGTGAGGCTGTGTCCACAGTGCAGCAACGATGACTGTGTGACTGACTGCATGTCTCCTGCACATGCACACATCACATCACCAGAATCAACCGTCATCACGGAAATTCCACACATCTCACAATCAACTACCTCACACTCCTGTCTCAACATGTGTCTTCCAACATTTCATCTACACACAGGGGCAACACACCACATGCAACATCAAAAATATCTATCTATCTATCTCACCTGCACCCAATAGATAAGGCAGAATATCACTGTCCGACAGACTCGACACATCGTCATGTGCAGCGTCAGCAGCCAGAATCACCAGTACTGAAAGCAGTAGATAGCCAATCTGGATGTGAAAGCGAAAACACATCATCACAGACCACAACACCAAAAACACTCACCATTCTCACCAACTCACTGACTCACTGACCAATTGAATGAACAAATGAATGGATGAATGAATCAGTAGATGCAATTGTTGTCCTTCACCAACAGAGAGACGACTTCGAAGACACTGAGGAACACACGAGACCAAGGTGTATTTATACAGCCAACCAAGACTAATTAACAATGAGTGAGAGACAGCTCACCAGTCACTGAATACATTAGAACCACTCGAACCAGTATGAGCTGCACACACTCAGAGAGGTCACACTTGGTCAATTTGGTGTGAGTCACACTGATCAGCAAGCACTTGACAACAACACAGTTGATGTGAATGTGAATGTGTACAGAAGAGTGATGAGATAGTGTTTGACCCGAGACAAGTGATTGTGAGAATTGTGCTTCACAATTAGTCCTCTTCTCACTCTGATCCACTGCAATTCACTCACTTGATATTGACTTCACTTTTGCTGCAGCCTCCTCATTTCTCCTACTTCGAATTGGTATATGCTCTCTCACATTGGACTTTGTTTCACTATTGTCAACTTCCTTCATGTACATGTTTATGTCTCCAATGTATCACATGTCAACTAAACTCTTCACCATGATTCTTCTCACCTAGAAATAATCCACACGTGTTCATAGTATGCAGTCTTCGTGTCACTTCTCCCACCTGATAGAATATTTCATGGTGCTTCATGTTTCTTGCCTACATTCATCTTCGTTCTTCTCTCTCCCTCTGATGTCATCACCATTGATATAAGCTCAACGCTGTATATGTTTGTAGAATGTCACTTGTCTGTAACGGTCATAAGTGTGAGTATCCAGATTCATTGAATGATATGATGCATGTGGAAATGTAAACCTGATTGAATTGTCTTCACACCTCTTCTTCGTGAATCGATGGGCCTTTTTCGTTTGCTTCCCTTCAACATGTTACTTTTACCTTTGAATTACGTGGGCTTGCCTTTGAATGTATATCCTGTCTTTCTTTTATAACCGTTGGTCTTTTCATCTCTTCTCGCTTGGTCCGTCCGTTCTGATAGCCATTTATCACGTGGAATGATTTGGCAATCTCCATCGTCACCTTTCTATATGTGACGCGGCATCAGCAGATCACGGCTGGTGATCCACGAGAACAACGTCACTCTCATCACATTCATACATTCCATACGGTGAGTTCAGCACATTAACCCACAGACCCGTAACACACATTTGCACTCTACAATGTAACAGTAACTGCTTTCTGTCGAATCACTATCCAGCTTAACATTCTGACATAATGAGACCACAAGTAATAGGTGTTGCGGGGGTGTAGCTCGTTGACTCATTGTGATATATGAAGCAGACCACTACTTTGCGTGGACCAGGGTAGCAGATATCGACCACTATCGAATATCACACCAATCCGTGTCTACAGCTTGTTCGCGAGTTGTGATGATCGTCTGTTTGAACTGAACTGACTTGCAATAATGGCATCTTATTGCGCGTCGTAAATTTGTGCAGGTAATGTTGGTAGCCTACCCAACCACATTGGACGTTCAGAACAATGTGAAGTTGCCTGTATTGAAATTGGAATTGCTACAATTCAGCAACGTTAAACACTGACTGACATTTCATCACTGAAACAAGTCAGTTCAGTGAACAGACAAGTCAAGAATGACTCACCATTCACTAGAGTAATGTGCTTGTGTGTTAAATGCAATGAGTCACTGAGCAGGAATCTCCAAACCCACTTTTCCAACATGCTGCAACTGGTCGTACTTCTTCATATCAAGAATACTTGGTAAATCAGGGCAAGTCTACTGTCACCCTTCTCAACAGATGTGAATGGCGAACCTACAAGGTCTCTGGAAATCGCACCATGCGAGTTGAAATATTCAGTATACAAGTGTGAGAGCTTTCACGTTGTTTGTATTGTAGACTGTCCGACTGCAAGTATGACTCCATCAGATAATCTGGTGACTGAATGACGCATGTCGAATGCATGAACATGGAATGGAAGTTGAGTCTGACGAGATGAATTCATCGACTTCCTTCAGGTAGGGGATTGTGTCCTTGAGTTCAAGTGAGTGGATGTAGTATCTCATAACAGATGTTGAGGTGAACGAGGATATTCCTAGATGAATGATATTCAGGTCACATGATTATCGTTGGGCACATGGAATCAGATATGATGTGGCAAGCGAAGAGTGCAGTCGATAGTCTCTTGAATATATGATCATCACAGTCACCAAATACTCATGGATTTAGCACACCCCATTTGCCTTATAGACAGAAATGTTGAAATAAACATTGTGGGTATTCTGTGATCGGGAGGCATTAGATATACTAAATCACACTATATACAGTGGATACAAGATGGTGGTCTGCATGCATTCCGGTGTCGATGAGAAACCACTATTTTTCAGTAGGTACTCGAACTGTTATTCCTTTCACCCTACATAATATTCGCCAAGTAAAGTTGAAACTCAGAGCATAAACTAAGTAACATAATAAGGTTTACTTCCATATTTATTGACTTTAGTTAAAATGGCACAGGGTAATTAAGCATAATTTGCCGGATCGAAATAAAGAGTGTTTCCAAACAAAAAACGACATGACAAGTCAACTATTTTAGATATAACCAAGGAAAAAACGTATAAACAGGCAAGACTCAGCTATTCCAGAAGCTGCAGCAAAAGTGAAGTCAATATCAAGTGAGTGAATTGCAGTGGATCAGAGTGAGAAGAGGACTAATTGTGAAGCACAATTCTCACAATCACTTGTCTCGGGTCAAACACTATCTCATCACTCTTCTGTACACATTCACATTCACATCAACTGTGTTGTTGTCAAGTGCTTGCTGATCAGTGTGACTCACACCAAATTGACCAAGTGTGACCTCTCTGAGTGTGTGCAGCTCATACTGGTTCGAGTGGTTCTAATGTATTCAGTGACTGGTGAGCTGTCTCTCACTCATTGTTAATTAGTCTTGGTTGGCTGTATAAATACACCTTGGTCTCGTGTGTTCCTCAGTGTCTTCGAAGTCGTCTCTCTGTTGGTGAAGGACAACAATTGCATCTACTGATTCATTCATCCATTCATTTGTTCATTCAATTGGTCAGTGAGTCAGTGAGTTGGTGAGAATGGTGAGTGTTTTTGGTGTTGTGGTCTGTGATGATGTGTTTTCGCTTTCACATCCAGATTGGCTATCTACTGCTTTCAGTACTGGTGATTCTGGCTGCTGACGCTGCACATGACGATGTGTCGAGTCTGTCGGACAGTGATATTCTGCCTTATCTATTGGGTGCAGGTGAGATAGATAGATAGATATTTTTGATGTTGCATGTGGTGTGTTGCCCCTGTGTGTAGATGAAATGTTGGAAGACACATGTTGAGACAGGAGTGTGAGGTAGTTGATTGTGAGATGTGTGGAATTTCCGTGATGACGGTTGATTCTGGTGATGTGATGTGTGCATGTGCAGGAGACATGCAGTCAGTCACACAGTCATCGTTGCTGCACTGTGGACACAGCCTCACCGATCTCTCAATGTGTGTGCTCACATGAGTTGTTGAATGACATGGACACGTGCACATGGAGTCAGGGAGGCAGACAGGAAGCTGTGGTTGAGAGTGGGTATGCGACATTTCCATCTGACCCACATGATGATGATGATGATGCTACTACTCCTGCTACTACTACTACTACTACTACTACTACTACTACTACTACTACTACTACTACTACTACTACTACTACTACGACTACGACTACGACTACGACTACTACTCCTACTACTACTGTCATGTGGTGAGTGAGGTCGACTTGCTGACTGGTTGTGTTATTTCACACTCATGTCTTTTCAGACTTGATGCTCCTCTGTTTTTATCCGTTGAATTAGGCGATCAGATATTGTCTGTCCACCGATTAAATAAGTGTTGCTATTTACTTGTAGAATTGATCAAGCAAGCTGTTGATGAGAATCATCCAGTGACGACGAGAGGCAAGAAGAATAAGAAGGATAGGGATAAAAAGAAAGAGAAGAAGAACAATCCGAAGGATAATAAAAGCAAGAAGGTCTCGAAGGAGGATAAGAATAAGAATACTAATAATAATTTGAAGGAGAAAACGTTATTGAATTCAACCAGTGGGTTGTCAACCTACCCCATGACGAAATAAACTGTTTCTTTTCTATTCTTCATGTGTTTCGCTTGTCTCATTATGTTTGGAGAGATCATATTTGTTGGGTGTTGTAGGTTGTGTCTAGCGTGCATGCATGAACTGCTAGATCGTGAGTGATGACTCGTTTGTCTTCTTCGGTACATTGTTCCGCAGCGTATGCTTGTAAACAAGTGTTCTTATTCCTTCTCGTTACTTTGAAAGACAAGACTTTTCTTTGTTATCGAGTACCTGAGTGATCTTTTTCACTAGGGAGTTAAGTCATTTATTAGAATACGGTATTGTGATGAATGAAAGGGAAGATGTTTCGTAGCATCGTTTTGCCTAGGTCAACTCTGTTATCTAGCTACGCCTACTCTTCCTTGCAATAAGCTGGACCGGTAATCGTGGAAGCAATTGGCAGAATGCACATCTTGATGGAAT